ATATCCCTAGTAGATAATCTCCTCCATCTTGGAGAATTCTAAATATTATTAGGGATATTTTTCACTTGATATCTAACATGAATGATTGTAAAATAATGTATATATTTTGAGAAGAACTGGCCATTTATAATCTTTGGTGGAATTCATTTCTTCCTAACTTAGATAGATCTTATGGATTGTGGTGACATAAGCGAGATTCTTTCCTTTCGTTTTTTGGAGAAAAGAAATCAATGTTGGAAGCGAAGCAACTGCAGTCAACTTAATCTTCCATTTTGCTTACAAATAAATGCATGCAGACACCCACAGATTGCACGCAGACATGGCGGCATTATTGTGTATGATGAAGAATTGGACAACCATCCAAACCACAAGACCGAACTCCCAAACTCGAAGCAGACATCAAACCAGAGGACCACCAATCACAGGTTTCATGAGAACATGAAGCTTATTTAGTTGACGTAAGCGCACTTCTTTCTGATCTCGCCTTTCTGGTGTGTGAGCACTCCGATCTTTCCCATGATAACCATCGAGCTCCCGAAATCGTTGAAGAACTCCTCTGCCGACGATGCCATGGCCTGGCGCTCGACGTACGCTCTCGTCTCGGGGTCGTGGAGGAGAGCCTCATCGGACGCGAAGAGGCCTTTCCCCTCGGAGACGAGCCTGTAGTAGCACAAGTCAAATCTTCTGGGGCTCTTGGGATCCATCTTCACCAGGGTCCTCATGTCATCATGATCATGGGGCTTGCATTTCCTCTTCAACTTTTCTGCGTACTCCATGTCCAGTGATGGGTCCGTGTCGCCCTTCCCGCTGAAGTTATACAGTCGCTGCGAGAAGGATGAGCAATGGGAGAAACCGATGGTGTGTGCACCTAATCATGACAAGATCCAAAGTCATACTCGGATGTTTAGCGTTTTCTTCGAGAGAAGTACGAGTAGAACTATAAAGAAAGGGTACCTGATAGAACAACAAGGTCTTTGACGGTTAGGTTTTTCTGGAGGAAGAAAGCTTTGAGCTCGGTGATGTTGGCAGTCGGTGGTGGCAGATTAGCCATGAGGTCAGAAGCTTCTGATTTGTTTCCATCTCTTCGGCCAGTTTGAATCGGAAAATATGGTCCATTTGCCTGCAGATTCAAATGACTTCAGATATCTGAAGCAACCTTCCGAAACTCATACTTCGGCTGTGTGTTGCATAAGATAACACGACTTACCAAGTAAACCGAATCGCGAGCTGCCATGGCTATGATGTCAGCGCAGGAGACGATCCCCGGACAAGCTTCCTCCAGCTTAGCCTTGACCCGATCGATCACGTCGAAACCCCGAAGGCTTTTGTTGGGGATGGCATCCTTCTCAGCCACGTTGTTGTTCGAAGAATCCAACAAGATGGAAGCATCACATCCCTTCGTACAATAAACTTGTCATTATTACCCTATATTTTCAAGTCTGTGGCGAAGTAAGAAGAAGAAGGACGCAGTTGCATACTCTAACAAAACAATCTTGGAATTGCATCCGCAACAAAGAGCCTGCAAGTGTTGGGTCGTCAGCTATAATCCTCGTCATTTCGTGAAGAACTATAGCCTCTGCATGGGGACATGTATCATTGTAGAATCCAAACTCGACGTGGGCTTCTGTCGAGCTACAACAAAGGAAACCAAGGAGCAAGAGCAGCAAGGATTTGGACAGAGCCATGGAAGACCTCATGTTGAGAAGAAGATGAAGGTTAAATTCTCTTTGGGTGTCTGAATAGAGTAGCGAGCCATAGGTTGTTTATGTAGATGAGTTGTGCAGGCTATCATACATATAAAAATATGTTAATCTTTTGGTAAGCCCTCTTCTCTATTACGTATATAAGATTGTGGAGAGAAGATTGGAGTACAATGTGTTGGAAGAAAAGGGGTTGACTTTGTTATGCCGTAATAAAGTATACATCTGCTACGCAATCAAAGCTGTCCATTTCTATTGAGAATTTAGAAGATCCTTTTCACTTGGTAAATAACTTAAATTTCATTATCCACTACACTACATGAGGCTCACACCATCTTAGAAACAGCAAAACTATCCACTAATCTTCACCATATGGTCAAGTAATTTGATCATAATATATGACAAATAATAATTTGTTTATATCCCTTAACTATTTATTATGACCAGAATTTTTTCTTTCAAATAAAAATTATATTTATTAATTTGTATTCAAATATTTTTAAAAATAGTTCTGAAGCACTAATAAATGATTTAGCTTGTGGTATCCAAGCTAAACATAATCCTTTTTGTATAACTCATGCATGAAAAGGTATCATCAGTTCATAAGAACTATGTATGTGAGATTTATATTGGTATGTTTATATTTGTCATGCATTTTTCTTAAGGGTAGGCTGAATTAAAGGGTTATCTTCTATCTGTCAGAAGCAAAATTAGGGTTAGCTTTTATCTTATAGAGTCAGTCTACAGTAGATATACAAGATAATTAATCAACATTTATCAAATCAAAGTCTAGTAAAAAGTTACTCTGGAGATGAAGGCACCATATTAAGTCCATTTTGCACTGTTTGTGACAGTGAAGGCTAGCATGCTGTCTGTTCTAGAGGAGATTAATGCTATATTGGAGGTTAAGTTGGACCCTTAAGTGCATGTTTTCTTTCTCTTTTGTCTTCAATGCCCATAAAATGGATTAAAACTTATCCTTGTTTTTATTGATAAGAAGGAACAATGATTCCATTAGCTTAGCTTGGTCCTCTCTCAAGATCACCCAAAAAGGTGAGTGAGTGAAGAATTGATGTATGTATGTATTCATTTCATATTTGCCTTCAACAAAATCAAGCTAGTTGAATTACTGAAACTGACCAAAGGAGTTGTACTCTTTCGTTCCATCAAAGGGTCATTGAAGACTCATCCCTGAAGTAAGGTTGTCAGCTGATAGGAGTGTACTGTGTACTTCAAGGCTAACGTACTGTGTAGTACACAGGCAATTCTTCATCCAAACACTTGTTTCGGTGTCACTATTTTATCTTCAAGTTTAGAGGTCAAAGGGATACTCGACCGCGTCAGTAGGAATATGTCAGGAGTTTATGATAGATTAGTGCTTTCTACATGCCATAGGTTACTCAATTATTTCTGTACTTCTGGCACTGAGATTGTGGATAAGCACCAAGGAAGATTGATCACACATAAATAATGAGGACTAAGTGACATAATTTGTCGGAGATGAGATTGCTCATAAGATTAGCTTTTACCAGCAATGTTGGAATAATCTACAACATTTTAAACTCCTTTTTTCTTGTGTGTGTTTTTGAAGTGTAAGCTCTTAATTTCAGTTTGCACATCTTCAACTGGAAGACTTCAGAGAATAGAACAATAAATATGACAGTTTTACCTGATTGGACTGCAATGAATCTTCATCAGTTTACAGCACAATATTAATCTATACTATGTATGTTTGTTTCAATCGAAATACCATGAATTCGATTATTTAAGATGTTGATGTTTGAATGTTGTTATATGTAGTGATGTGCTAACCAATTGGAGTCAGCTACTCAAGACTAGACATATTAATCTCGGTTCTTAAATTAAAAGTATTTAATTTTATTTATAACTCTTATTGCACTATTAATATTATAATTTTAATTTGTGATTTTGTCTCAACCAATTTAGTATATTAGTTATTTCATCGGGTCATAATAACTAATATGAGAGTTAACTTAGTATTAGAGCATGAGTAGAAAAGGATTGCTCGTAAATGGTCTCGGATCGTATCTCACATGCACCGGTTCAATTATGAGCTATATTAAATTTTGACGAAGATGTGTAACTTGATTGATTTATAAAGATTCGATGAGAATATTATTATTTATTTTTTATGAGTTGGATGTAAGAATAAATATAATTACATCATATCAGGAAAATAAAAAAAAGAATCGGATACTTACTACTAATTTGGTTTGTTTATTGAATATAAAAATAAAAATATTTAGTTGGACCAATCGATTGGAATTCCCCCAAGAATTAAATCTACAGTTTGCAGCAGCCAAACTCAGCTAGCTGATGAGATAAGCTCATAAAAGCCGTCTGCCACCCACCCAACCGAACCACCTTGAACGTGACTTGAATCAAGAAAAAGCTTCGAGGTCCCTTCTTCCATGGCATCAGACAAGGAGGTGTCATGTGAGCTTCCGAGTTCTGCATTAAAAAGATGGCATTCCCGTCTCTAGCTGTAGAGTCCCTTCTTCCATGGCATCACACTCATATTTAGTTTTGTTTTGGACCACATGTTACAGCATTTAAGTGGATCCATGACTCCCTTTCAAAGCTTTCCATGGAATGGAGAAGATAAGATACGATGAGAGAGAGAGAGAGAGAGAGGAACTCAGAAGTAACACAGTAACCGAGGATGTAGGCAACTTGTTTCTCAGTGAACTTCTTCAAACTCCAATTACTGGCTCTGTTTGAGATGAAGAGAGACAAAAAGAAGTTCAATTATGTTATCAATCACAGGCAATAACTGATCTCTGAGAGGTCTTTCCACAGCTACAGTTGACAAAAGATAGATATAATACAAATATTTATGAGACAACTTCCAATTCATACTTTTAGGTAGTCATCTATTGATTGTGACCTTCCTCCCACATATTCTTGGTGGCTTGTAGCAAGTGATAGTTTCATGTGCCTTTTTATTTGGTGTTACATGGAGTGACAAGTGATAATTGGTGTTACACCAAAAAGGACTTCTATTTTCCTGTTTATGTATGTATAAATGCATTCATTTTCTTTCAACATGTTATGTAAATCAATTCTTTATGATATTTTTCTCCATCAGTAAGTGTATATATATATATATATTTTACTTCCTCAGACTGCATGACCACTAACATAAGAAAATTATATGTGGACTATTTTTTGATGTGTACTTTAATTAAAGTTAATTAACATAGGGGTATTTTAGTCTTTTGATGAGGATACGGCTCAAAGATAACACGAGGTCGACGACAGTGCCCCCTCTATCTTCCGATGGCGTTGGAATCGCGCCCAAGCAGGTAAACGCCAATGGCGCCATCTGACGCCCGCGTCCACCTCAGGGCAACTGCTCCAGAGATGCTTACCTCCGGATCCCATTCCTCGGATGTGCCTCCTAAGCGGAATCACCATCTCCACCGCCGCCATCGCCTTCGCAGCCGCCGTCGCGTCGTGAAGTACCGACCTTTCCCCGCCCCCGACGCTCCCCCGCCGAGGTCGAAGCTTTGGGACGCAGATAGGTCCTCCGAAGCCGACGTCGTGCTCGCCGCAGGTGGAGCGAGTCACCGGAAGGGCGGGGATGGCGTCCGACGGGCCGCGCCGGTGGTTTCGGTGCGGCGGCTCGCTGCTGCTCTGTGGCATTTTCGTCCCTTGGGTGCTGGGGATGTTGGAAGGAGCGCTCGGCTAGGGTTTACGGTAAGACCACCACCATGATCCGGTGCCTTTTTCTCTCGTCTCCGGATCTTCTCTATTCCCATTTTTACTGTCCAGATTCTGATGAGGTCTTCCACAGTATTTTCTTTATCTTATTGCGTTTGTGTCCTAAAGATTGCCTTTGAAGTCTGAAAGCGAATTGCTCTCGTAAAAAGCATATCATCATGAGCATGTTAAAGTATTACCAAAATATCTTGATTTTTATGAGCAAGTTGTTCAATATTTAAATCCAAATTGGAAAAAAGAAAGAGAGGGATAATTGATTTGTTAAGGAGATTACTATTGACAACCCCTAACTTCATACAACCATGTAAATAAAATAAAATATAATTTTACTAAATATAAGCCCTCAATTATCAATCATACTCTTATTTCCCACAACCACTGATGCAGACTAGCCCAGAAGATGACATGTAAAAATATCATCTTCCAGGCTTGTAATCCGATAGCTTAACCCCTAGAAACATTAAATCGATCTAACAATGTAAAGAACTATTTGTCATCTCCTTCTCGTCGATGTTCAGATCATCTCATTTGATTATCCTTTTTTTCATCATTTTGCAACATCAACCATAAAAGATGCTTCGGCAATTAGGAAGAGAATGAGAAAAAGAAGAAGATGATGAGAAAGAAGAAGGGGAAGAAAAAGGGATTGTACGGAAGGAGTTAGAACAGTTCGTCGAAATTAAGTGATAAGTTGAGTGCATTATAGGAGTTTCTTAGGAATATTAAAGGTTCTTAAAATGGGGCTGTAAATAGGAAAAAGGGGTTGCCAAGAGAAATATCATTTATTAAACTGAATATTCGGAATTCTAAAGATAATTTTGGTCTCTGATATTGTCGTTCCTTTTCTAAGTTCAGTTGCTATTGGTCAAGAACAGCTAGAACTTCCCAATTGCCCATAGTGTTATTCTTCATTGCTATTCTAAGCTTAGTTTTCTGCCTCTCTTATTGATATATGTTTGAGTGTATATCTCTGTTGTTCGAACATTTTTGCTTGTCATCTTTGCACCTGAAACCAGAGTGTCTGCTCTTACCAAACGTCAGTTTTCATGGTGAAACAGACCAATGTGCCAGAAAAATGGCATTTTATATAAGGTTTCTGTTCTTGTTATTGTACTACTGAATATTGTTTTTGATCTGTAATCTTTTTGAGCTTACCCTATATATATTCCTCTTTTATGACCAGGCAGAAGTTTCGTCGTCATTACCCTCTTGTACAATGGTGAAGGCAAAAAAGTGGGACTCCAGACCCTTAAATGTGATAGAGGATATCTGCCAATGCTATGGTCACCTGAGGCTTCTCGAAGACCAGCAGGTAAATGGCATCTCCGTTATGTCTGCCCTCCAACTGGAGCTAGAACAGGCTCGTAGCTACATCATTGAGCTTGAGTCTAAGCAACGGTCAGCAAAGAAAAAGCTCAATCACTTCTTGAAGAGCCTTGCAGTAGAGAAGGCATCATGGAGGAACAGAGAACATGAGCAAGTCCGCAGCATAATTGAAGCCGTCAAGTGTAATCTTAGCAAAGAAAGGAAAAACAGAAAATGGTTGGAAGTTGTGAATGCCAAGCTGGTTGATGAACTCGCTGAGGTAAAGTTGTTAACTAAGAGGTACTTGCTTGATTTTGAGGAGGAGAGGAAGGTATGCGAGCTTATGGAGGAAGTACATGATGAACTGGCCAAGGAGATCGGTGAAGGCAAAGCTGAAGTTGAAGCTTTGAAGAGGGAGTCTGTGAAACTTCAAGAGGCAATGGACGAAGAGCGGAGGATGTTGCAGATGGCAGAAGTTTGGCGTGAAGATAGGGTACAAATGAAGTTGGTAGATGCAAAGCTCATGCTTGAGGAGAAGTATCTGCAGTTGTGCAACCTCCAAGCAGATATGGAGGCATTTCTGAAAGTGCAAGGTGGTATCGACAAAGATATGGCGATGATGAAAGAAGCAGAGATGCTTAAAGATGTTTTGAGCTCAATTAAAGTTGAAGGTATCGAGTTCTACTACCAGCCTCCTGCTTCTGGGGGCATGTCTGTCTTTGAAGAACTCCAGCCAATAGAAGAGACTAATGGGCGGGACATAGGACAATGCTATGGATACAGCCCTGCAAGTCATGCCTCCAGAATTCATACTGTCAGCCCGGAAACTGATTTGTTTCTTCAAAACTCAGTGAACTTTGCTAATGGAACGGTCAATGGGTGTAGTGATGTAGAAGATGATAGTGGCTGGGAAACTGTGAGCCAGCATGTGGGGCAGGCTTCTTGTAATTCTCCAGAAGGGAGTGACCCATCTGTGAATTGCATCTGTGAAGAAAGTTATGGATCGGTAAGAGGAACATATTGGGATGAGCAAGGAGACAATGTCAAGATAAACAGTGGAATCAGTGAAATTTGCTCGACAACCACAAGACAGCATAGGAAGAAGTTATCTTCTATAAGTAGGTTTTGGAGGTCGTCATCTGCAACTAAAGGTGATAGCAAGAACGTTTCTGTAGAATTATCTAACGGAAGGTTCTCAAATTGTAGGACGCCAAATGCCACCCTTTCTTCCGATGCCAAGTCTGATGAAGTGGGCCAAAGCTCCCCAAGTGTGGGGCTGTGTTCCCCCGATTTGTTAGACCCTCGTGTTACACCGGGAACGAAAGGATGTACCGAATGGCCTAGAGGAACTCAGAAGAACAGTGAGTATTCATTTGGCAGAAGATTCAGCTGCGTCAATCCCTAAAACTAAAAGATTTAACATGAGTATTCATTTGGCAGTTGAAGATATGCGCCCCCGTGATCATGCCAGGCTAATTCTGGGCTGTTATTTGGTACCAGAGACAAGTACTCAAGTTTCGTAATGTTAATCTTGAAGGATGGTTTTCTCACCAATCTGGACCGAAAGCAGAGTTTGCTGGAAACTTGCATTCGTTGCCAATTCATGTTTCTCTGTTCCCCAACTATGGTCAGGATCACGAACACAATGTACAGTGATAGTGGTCTCATTTTATACAATCAACCAGGTCAGAATTTTCTCAAATGCGATGAATATATCGATAGTTGTAAATGTCATTGTTCGATGCTTTATCATCTGTAGACCCGAGCAATAATAGATCATCCACTGGGTCTTACTTTGTGCTGTACATGTCTGTGAGGTGGATTCATTTGGGGAATGTGAAGCAGTCTTTGCTTCTATATTCATGTAATAAAATCATCATCAAAGTCATATTGTTTTGCATGTTACAAAATTCATCTGCTCGTGTCAAATACATCTCTTCAGATGACAGAGAGCTCTAAACAAAGGAATGCCATTTAATACCATTAGATGATAAACAATAGCACTGATTCCCTCGAGTGTAGTGTTATCTAGTAAATGTTACCACCGCATTCCCATATTAAACGGTAAGCACATTAATCACACCTAATCATGTCGATTCCACTGTACCAATAATACCCTAATTTATTAATGGATCATTAGGGAGGACAACTTTCGGTGATGCCACTACAGAATCTCGTGTCGCATGGAAGGAATCATACTATATGCTTCTTGGGGTCCAGCGGCAGGAAAGATTCTGATTCCTAAAAGCAAGCCTTGGATCTCTCACATCTTCTCCGATCCCCAAATTCGTCTTAAACACGATGATTCGTCTATGTTTCTTTCAATCAACGTTCATTTTAACATGAAGTTAATCTGATTTATGCAGAGTGGATAAGTACAAATATCCGAAAAAAATCCGATTTGTCGTCGTGCCGAGACGTGAGCTCGGCCGACGCGTCATGGTCATGTCATACAACGGCTTCGTCACGGAGCGGAGAGATAAGCCGTGCCATGACCACGCGTCGTGAGATCAGAGGCGCGAGCTCGAGCTACAGCTATCGCGGTCGCAGTCGCCAAAAAGAAGGGGTGCCCTCATGCAGCGTAAGATCGACCCCTGTGCTTTTGTCTTCTTACGTTGAGCGGCTCATAGCAGACCTGAACGCCGTTGTAGAAGGAGGATAAGCATTATTGAAAGAAGTAGACAGGAGAGGGAATAGAGCTCGATGGAGGTAGGATTCCTTTGTTCGGTTCGCAGAGGACACCCAGTCTAATAAAGAACTTGTTTCCATTCTCTCGTCAGCCACCGCGATCAATCAACAGCAATACTGCATCGTCGTCGCGGTACAGCGACACCAAAAGCGAAGGCCACATTTTTGAATTGTCGTGACGAGGACATGTTTAGAATCCAAGGAGGGGCCGACGGGACGGGTGTCGATCAAGCACAGGCTACCGTCCGCCATCCACCGAGCACCCACGTGGGACTGGGCCCCCCCTGCCCACGTCGACGGGTCCTACGTGGAGCCCCCGCCGTCACGATGCTACAGTAAAGACGATCGAGGCTGCTGCTCCGCGCGCGCTCTATAAATGAAGCCTCCGCATCTCTCCCGAGGCCGCGATCGGAAGGTTCCGCGGAAGAAAGAGCTGTGGCACCGTCACTTGCTCGAACAGCCGATCTCGTTTCGATGGCGAAGGCGCGGAGACACGCCCCGGACCGCCTCCTCGGCTGCACGCACGAAGGTCACGTGGCGGGGGCGGACTTCCCCGACCTCGTCGAGGACGAGGTGTTCTGGTCCTCGGACTACGGCTCAGCTGCCGGCGAGTCGAGCTGGCGCCGGTCCGATTTCAACAGGGCTCGCCCATGGGCCGCCCGTCGAGAGGGCGGACTCTCTCTCGCCTTCGAGGACGGATGCATGCCACGACGGAGCGCCGCGTCGGCTGCCTCGGCGCCGGTGGAGGTCCCCGTCTGGCCCAAGTTCCTCCAGGCCGAGCCTGACGCGCCGGTCGGGCTGTTCGACCGGGAGGTGGAGGAGGAGACAAGAGACGGAGGGTGGGTGCCGCCGCACGAGTACTTGGCGAGGGAGAAGGGGAGGAGCGTGGCGACGTCGGTGCTCGAAGGGGCCGGCCGCACGCTCAAGGGCCGGGACATGAGCCGCGTTCGGGACGCCGTTTGGAGTCGGACCGGATTCTTTGGTTGAAATCCAAACCCGAAACGTTTTGTGTCTGTATTGGGCCCTTTGATGACTTGTTAATAGTTCCTGTTATATTATTCGTGCAATAATTAGAAAGCCTACAGTGATTGTTACAGCCAATATTATAATAAGAAATTCCTAATGAATTATTTTAAGAGAAAAAGCTTTTGTTTGAACTGCAATTAATGTCACGGGAACGAAACAGAAATAGCGATAGTAGCCGTCACAGGAACAAACACAAGGAGGCAAGAATGGAGAAGCTAAAAGGGTCCGACAAGCGACCAAAAACAGATAGGAAAGAGTCGTCAATGAATGGTGGCGTGAGCCGAACAACTCCTCTTCATGCCTCATCTGTCATCGTCGCCGGTGGATCCCACGAGTCGCGTCCGATGGAAGGAAGGCGCCTCCACGCCGGAGTCGCGCAGATGGGGCAACCCCAGTCTGATGCCCAAACGGATGAGAAAGATCACCGGGCTCATGTCACTCGCCACCTTTTGAGTGAAAGAGATGTGTGACGTTGTACATGTATTTTAGTACTTTCTGCTATTAGTCACTACGTCAAAATAGATCAATATGATTGATGATGGCCATTCGGAAAGATGGAAGACTGTGATATGTACTCTAAAATGAAGATGAAGTTTGTAATCTTGCCCATATAAATTGGCTGTCCAATATGAAAGGAGCGTGCGAGGAAGATTGTTCTAAGATCCCGATCATTGAGTTGAGCAAATATTTGTAGTAGGCCAGCACATTTCCATTGCTCTAATTCCAGACCCACTTGAGCTTTCCAATTGGTAATAAACCTAAGAATATGATGATCTTTTTAAGATTTGGTTTCTTTACTCCTCGATCAATCGATACGAGAACTAAATATGCTCATCATTCCTACATGCATGTAGATGAAAGAAAGTTCCGAATGCGTAGGTGATTTCAGGGAAATAAGAACTGGATGGAATATACTTGTCCTAGAGGAGCAATCGGAGGTCAAACACCATCAACATAGAACAAATACATGTAGAACAGCACATCTCGAGACTATCCCGCCTGGTCTCCCACGTCTTTGGAAGAAGAAAGAGGAGGTGCCTCATACTTGCTGAAGACCTCGTAAGCTGAAAGCAGTGACAGAGCCACGAAGCACACGAACGCCGCAAAGTGCAAGAACAACGACGCCTTGCCCTTGCTGCAGAACTTGCCGTAGTAACTGCACCCTTCACTCCATGAGGCTTCCGTGTCCCCCTGATATGCCAAATACATCACCTCCGTCGCAGCTGATCCCGATGTCACCATCAGGTAGGCAAACACCTGCTACGCACCATGGAGCACCGAGAACAAATCAGTAACATGTCGAACACAGGAACGCAGTCAGATTCCATGACCTGGTCCAAGATGAAGAAAAGCCAGTCGCTGTCGAAGCACCCAAGGAAAGAGAGGAGAATCGAAGCAGCAGCGTAGCCGAGGGAGATGGCATTTGTGCAGACCAAGTACCTACATGACCACAGAGCATCAAGCCACAGGAGACGAAGAGGGGAAACACATAGAGCCGGAAGCTTGTTACTTGAGTCCGGTGATGTTGCTGAACTCCACCTTGCCGTAGGCATCGTTGGCCTGCTTGTTGGTGGCCATCACCCACAAGGAGGCAGCACTGAGGGGAATAACTGTGAGCCTGAGGAAGAGATCCAGAGATCTGAAAGTCCTGCCATGGCTGGAAGAGGCAGGAGCGAATCCAGCTCCACGTCTCATGCTCCAAGCTGATGAACAACTCGGTGTAGCTGAGAGGATCTTTGCTCCTTTGGAGGACTGGCAGGTGGAGGAGATCTAAGACGAATGCAGCCTCCTTTTCAACGGTAAGCAATTTGAAGTGCGGTGGGTGAGTCTTAAATCAGAGGGGTAGCTTTTTGGAGTGCAGCAATCATGGCCTATGGATGACCAAGTGTTTGAGATGCTTGTGGTAGCTTCTTCACCCAGTAATGACTTTATCCAAGGATTGGCTTACCCACCAAAGGAAGGACGTCACACCTCCTCCTCTCACGTCTTTGGTTGTGAGGCAAAGGAAGGACATGTTACATTAACTTACAAGGACAACACCATTCATGGCTCGAGTTGGGCCATGTATCATTACTCCATCCTAATAAGTTAATGCATGAAGCTGTCTCCACCGTGTACTTAATACATATTTATTAGACAGTACTCCGTAATTTCGTAATATTCCCCTTTAAAATGTTGCGTGTTTTATGTATCTTATATATTTCTTTACCAAACTAACCTATATTAGTTATGGTTATGATATAGTTATTATTTTCGCTCGTAATGTGAAATTCATTTAATACACCATGCCAACTATTTATTAAAAATGAAATCTTTTTGAAGATGATGTCGAAAGCATTTTCATTATTATTATTTGTTGAAATAATACACTGAAATATGTTTATGTCATGAGAGGTATACGTGAGGACCAGAAGAGTTGAGAACAATAAGATTGATTGTCCATGTGAAGTGGGGCGTCCTCTTTACTGTTGGGACCCGATAGGATGAGCAGCGGTCTCCTTCAAGTTGGATTCTGCATGACAGTGTGTGCCAGTGTGAGAAGAACTGTCGGGTGACCAAGAGAGAGAGAGAGAGAGAGAGAGAGAGAGAGAGAGAGAGAGAGAGAGAGGCTATAACATGAATGATAAGGATCGGTACACAAATAAATGTTAGGGCGGTGAGAGGACGATAGAAAGAGCATAAGTTGAACAGTGAGGATAATAGAGAGAGGTGTGAAGGAAGAACTGTATTGATTGATTTCTATCGGGTCACTACAGTGGGGTAGAGGGCCCTGATGGATGTGTCTTTTGTTTTGTCAAGAGGCATGATAATTTCCTGATGCATATACAATAACAAGCTACAAATAAGTTGAATGCAAGCTATCATTACTCAATGATGCCACATGATCCCATGTAAGTTGGAAATGTAAGAACCACAACCTTTACAAGGCAACAAGCTTCTGCTTGCATACACCACTTCAGATCTATCAACACTTTTCATCACAACACATTCTACTATAAGAATATGATTGAACATCGCAGATGGTTTTTCTATCAATTTATTTTATCATCATACATCATGCCGACGGCATACGTAAACAAAGATTGATCACTCCATTGCCATTGTGGAATCCAATGGTTCATAGTGACACCACCAAGCATGTAAATTCACTCACTGACATAGAATGAACATCTCTCGTGATTAAAATGACTAAAAGTCAGTATATATATAACCCAAGCCATATCATAACCAAAATGGCCAGCAGTATATAAAGCCCCAAGCCTTTGCAATAGTCGGACCTTTTCTTTTGGTACTAGTTATGGCATAGCCAAAAGACCATCAAACATCCCCGTATAGAAACATAATGTTTCAACTAGAAGTAGGCTGTCACTTTATTCTGTTAATTGTCTTAGATGATGGGGCCCGATACATTTGTCACTTGTTGAGGAACTAAAGAAGCATATTATAAATTAAATTGGGTGTTACATTATCAGCACTGAAAGAGAAAATAGTAAGAAGGCCACTCCCATCTATTCGATTCATTTTCCAGGTACTTCCTGAAAACCTGCTGCGCCAGTTGCTGTCATGTGTCTATTGTAGCCGGCTTAGAGGGGTTCGCTAAGGGGAAACTTCGCCTTAGCACTCGCGTTTAGAAAAGATGTGGCTTCGCCTTTCTTTTCTTTATTTTCTTTTCTTACTATAAGCAGAGAATTTCACTAGCTCCCTAGGGAGCTAGTGAAATTTGAGAAAAAGTCAATAAAGGAGCAACTTAACGACCGAAGTGAAGTGAGCTACGGGGTGTACCCCGTAGCTCACTCACTAACAGGGAGTTATGTTAGCTCCGGGCAAGCAACTCGACCGGAGGGAATGACTTTAAGAATGACCGAAGGGAGTGTTTGCTTGGGGGACGTGTCCCCCAATTCCCCTCTTAAAACAACTCTTTTTTATAAACCCGAAGGCCCGTGGCCTGAGGGCCACCTTAATACAGATATACTCATTATTATATCTTATGACATTTAGGTCAAAGAGAGCCAACTATAAATGAGATGAGCCATAAAATTTCCTACCTCACTTTAGATGGGTCTCAGACCAATATGCCGAACCACATATGTGGCCAGCATTGATATCCTGGAAGTTCCAAAAAAAGAAAATAGGGTTCTACCATGAAACACTAATTTGGCTTAGGGAACAAATATTTAAATCTATCAAGTTCCCATTATGTTTGCACAAATAACATCTCTAAGAACAAAAAGCATGATCAGGGAGAACGAGAAGTGGTTAGATAGAGATTACCATTTAGCCATTGAATGGGTAAATATATGATGATCTCAGCACTTTGTCAAAACCTCAGCACCAGTTCCGGTGATCAAAATTGTATGCTCAAACTGTGCAGCTCGGCTGCCATCCGCTGTAACGGTAGTCCATTCATCATCCCAAGTGATGCTCTCAATGCTTCCCATGGTTAGAATGGGCTCTGTAAAGATAGAACTACATAAAAAAAAAAAAACAAATATCCTCCTTTATACAGTGTAAGTGAACGCTAATTGTGCAGCTACTACACCCAGGTGTGCACATAGCAACAACAATAACAAGCCACAAATACCAAATAGTTGGGGTTGACCATATGTATCTTTTGTCGTTCATTGAGCTTATACAAAGGTCATATATTTAGTTAAATAAGTGTACTTAGATATTTACTTATAGTTTATAATAGAGTTTTTTTGGTCTCCCTCTACTTCTCATACCACATATACCAATCATCTCACACACTTTTAACTACAACATCCATAGGTCTCCTTAGCATATATTCGATGATTTTCCTTCAATAAATACTCGAACAAAGTTACACCTAATTATTCATTAATTTCTCTTTTTCCTCTTCACAGTTCACATGTCAAAAAAGCTTCTCATCCTATCTTGCTCTCTCACAAACCCAAACAACCCATACATGGGGTTCATATGGCCTATTGGCCCTATATATTAGGTTTGTGCGAGTCAGATAAGATGGGAATTATTTTTGGAAGGTTCTTTAAAAGTTGGGAGATGCATCTGGACTTTATCTTCGAGATATCTTAATTTTAGCATCAGAGAGTACAATGACCTCCCTAGGAAGCAGGTACTAGCTAAGTTAACAGAAGATCCAAAACAAGTTATGTTTTTGGGAGTATAGAACCATCAGAATTGCACAAGCAAAGAAATGTTCTCATGCTTTAAATGGTTATGTCGCAGTTTGCACATATGAAATCTTGATTTTTTTTTTCATATCTTCAAAAGACCTCCTGCTAGGGTTATTTTTGAGGAAGCTTTGGAGGAAAAAATGTGGCACGTGGGTTATGCATTTTGTTGAATGTAACTAGTTCTTTCTGCAATCTGAAATACCAGTAATGGTAAATGTCAAATTAGCAAATGAAATATAATTTGGTTTAGCTTCAAATGAAATATTCATCCACATTCTGTGTTTTGAATATGAGGGTTCTAGTTCAATGTTCAGACCCTATCATAACATATTTGATCCTACTTATTCAAGCCCACAGAGTACATACACTTACTAAGACTTGCATCCTTTTACGACCACCAAAATACTGTGGAAAAAAAGACCAGTTTACAGGGGATACACAATAACAGATTGCTGGTTTTCATCTGCAGTTACCTTTTAACTCAATATACTTGCTTCCTACTAAGTAGTTTTTATTTGTCATTTCCAATAGCTAACCTACAGTTAATTCTACAATGTAAATCATAAAAATATCATCCAAAAACTACCAAAGATCTATAACAGAGTTTCAATGACCTTACATAGAGTAGTGCAATTCCTTCAAAAGAAAAAAAGAGGATCAACCACAACTATTTTAGCATCAACTCCATTTATAATAGATGAGCTCAACCATTTTTCATGGATTCTAAACCTAAGGATGTGAAAGCATTTATACCAGACACACTTTCTGAATTCTGACAAATGTAATTTTAAATTTGTCAATTACTCAACACAACCATAAAATATAAAACACTTACCAATTGTAAATGTTTCACCTTCAACCATACACCCAGATCTGTCATTACCTAAATAACAAAATATTTCCATCAGGATAAGGGCATATATTAATAAGTGATTTGGGCTAAAATATTAAGCTGCACAATAATGCAAATATATACATAGATCCGTCATCATGGTTCATTTTTAAATAATTTAGAAATGCTACTATAACACAAAATTGTTAAATTTTTCAAACTTTGTCAGGCATTAGTATTCCCAGGAGAGGCATTTGAGGAATGTTTAAACATTTAAGACAAGCTAAAACCTTATGCAAAGCACTAAGGAGATCCTACAGTTTTCATCTTAATGGTTTCTCCTGAATACACATAATAGCAATTTAAGAGACAGTTCATTACAAAAGAATATTGTGAAGAGACATTGTAAAAGCATAATGCATTTCATAATAAAAGAAATGATAACATAAAAGTAGGTAGAACTTCAATAATACTCATCATCATCTGCTTCTTTTCTGCTTGATATGTAATGAAGTATTGCCCTGCCTTATGCATCTATAGTCTTGCCGTAAGAATCCTAGAGAACAGCCTCAAGAATGCCAGGAGGAGGAGAAGAGGACATCACACTGGAGGAGGTAAGTATTTTTCATATTTCATAATTTTCTAACTTTTTTGCTTTATATATATATATATATATATATATATATATATATATATATATATATATATATATTCTGTTGGCAATGTTGCATCAGCACATCCATTTTCTGTGCAGAAAAAGCCACTTGCCAGGAACCCCCCCACCCTGGTTACTAGTATTTGACCTGGCAACTACATGAGTTATCAAAACAATATAGATGAACCTTGAAAGATTCATGGAATTCATGAAAATTCCATGTCTAGAAGCAATGTGTACAAGTGGATTATTTCTTTCTGATGCTTGTCAAAGCAAGATATCAGCTGCTAAATAAGAAAAAAAATGTTAAAGACCTAGCAAATGAAAGAAATTATATATATATATATATATATATATATATATATATAGCGCACAAACACACACACACCAAATCTCCAGTAGGATAGGCAAGAGTACCATCATTATAGAAACTTCTAAGCATCTCACAGTTATTGAGAATGGTACTTGCAAATATAGTGTCTTTGAAAACCTTTTCATGCCATCACATTTCAAATAACATTTCAATGTAAAATATAAAGGACGAGACAGTAAGGCAACAGATGTGAAGGTTTACTAACGATGATGCAAAATGAGTGGCTCAGAGTGGAATACCGTCCCGACACCATGACCAACAAAACGCTCCACAACACCATAGCCATATTTTTCAGCATGCTCACTACAATATTGTGCAGAAAAGGAAATAAAATATTGTTATGATTAAATAGAAGCTAAGCTTAAGAAGCAAAAGACTGACATTTGCAAGGAAATACAAATCATTATATAGCAAAAGGTTATTCGTTTATGTTATGATGCAAAAAAAAAAATCCAACGTTTCTGAAAATTGAAATCATATTATCATCACCTAGATGCAGCACATCTGATAAAAGTTCAGCTGCCATTGAATTCACTGGATGTGACAACAGAACCTTACAGTTTCCAATCTACACCCACCTTAGCTTACTAATGTATGCAGCATTTTGCACTAGCATATTAAGATGTTCATATCAGAATCCTTGTTACCAATAGATTGATACTTGCAATTCAATTTTGATAAACAAACATTTCCTTAGCGAATTAACTCTAGGATTAGAATTACATCAGAAGACTAAGATAACTAATGGCTAATTGCTTCACTAAATATCATTGTATTTTTATACTGTAATTTCAATTCTTTCGTCGAGAATGATGTATATTTGAATCACTCAAATTTTGAAGTAAAATGACTATAGCATGCAATAATTGAAGTTTAACTTTTCGAGGCACAATTAAAGATACTTTCCTATACACAAGAAAAATGGGTTCATAATAACCTACAGGTATAACTGTATAAGCACATAAAGTTTTATCCTAGCGTAATTGCAGATTTAAACAAAACCCTTTCATGTTTAAACAAGTTGTATATAGATTTATAACTCAGCCTCGAGGTGCACAATTGTCTTTTGTACATTAAAATAATTTGTGCCCACCTTTTTCCATCTAAACTAAAGCTATATCACAAAACCATTGCCTGATATTGGATGACTATTTCATATCATCCCAGTACCAATTTGTCAAAGTCAAGTCAAAATATACTGCTAAATTGAAGTGCTGGATGACCATTTTAAAAAAAGATAATACATGGTGAAGATCTGTTATCTAGTTTGGAAATTGACATAAACTTTTGACTCTGTATTTTTCAAAGAAGAATTTACCAGGTGAGACTATTATAATACCTTATTCTCTTGCCGATCTTCTTAAAACTAGCACCATCCTTGCAGACAGATATAGCCCTCTCAAGGCATTCTTCAGTCACCTATAAGAAGCAGAAAACCAAAGTAAACTTAGTTTCCAATTTGGAAACTTCTTTTTCTATTACAGTTACAAGTCAGTAATAAAAATATTGAAAATGCAAACTAAAAATGATAAAAGATGGAGAAACTCATTTCTCTGGCAGACTTCATGATTTTCTCAGGTTTGACCAGTTCAATCTGTCAGTCGAGAGCAGGAAGATGTGCAAAAAGATCTGCATCAACTTGGAGAGCAAATCCCTACATACTAAATTTCATTTTAATTCAAGTTTGTTAAAGAACCTCACAACCAGGAAACCAATTTGGCGAAAACTCGCACTTAAAATAGAATAAGAGAAGGTAAAGGAGTTATAAGGTGGAACAAGACGATTATAGCTTGATGTTCCCTAGTATAAACCAAGGTTTTAAATTTGGGTCAAGTACCAGTATTGGTAATCTACTGGACTGGCATAGTACCCAGCGTGCTGGAAGTATATCAATCCTAACACCCAGTACCCAGCCGAAAAGGGCAATAAAGAAATGTTGATTGGTTCTGGACCATATGATCCGATATCAGTACTTTATTTGAAATCTTGGCACAAACAATCATAAAAATCTCCTCCTGCTAACATGTATGAGTCCATAAGAAGTTCTACAAGCCACTTGCTGTGTCAGAAATCAGCATCTTGGGCCAACATACCGGCATATTTCAAGTTCCCTAAAGAAATGCTTTAGCCTTACTCTATCCAGAGTGTTCATTCCATGAATGTCGACAATTTTCTGGCACCAATACTGTTTTTGCTTATTTAGATTATGTTTGGTAATCTGATGATTTTCTGCTTTTCTAGTCAACCTCGTTTACTTTGTTGTCAAATTCTATCTGGTCATGTTAATTGAAAGGACTGATTCTCAATCTAGAGTTTATCTAGCATTTAAAAATTACAAGAACATGGATAGAACTTAGAGGTATCTTTGATAAGGAACAAAAGTTTTTTATTATACACATGCTTCACAAACAAACATATACGAAATAAAAAACAAAGGACAAGTAGCAAACTTTGGCATTCAAATCAAGGTTCACATAACAATATGATGAAGGCCAAGAGCAAAATCAAGATTGGACTAAGGTCTTGGATTGTGATCAATATTTGACAAGCTTGGAATTGTTCAAGCAACAATTTGAAAGTAAATAACTCAAAATTTCCAAGTTGTGAATTCACTGTCCAAAGATAATAAAGCACACTTCAATATATGTGTTTCAAGTCAAGTTTTAGCAAACTAAGTAATGAAGAGCCAGCCAATTCATGAAAGTGCAATTATGTTGTCCCCTTGTTATACTAAGAATACCCACAAAATAAAGATCCATTTATCACTAAAATCTCCAAAAAGGAAAGGTGTTTCATGTTTGCTATTTAGCTCAAAAAAATAATTTAACAAATGTAAATTACCACTATTTCCTTCATTATGCATCGTCTACAACATCACTTGAAACACATATCGACACTGAAAAAAACCATATGAGATCTTAAAGGGCAATACATAGAAACAAAACTAGCATAATACATCCACAAATTACCTTTACAAGGCGCTTTGTTGGTTCATTCACATTTCCACACAGAAATGTTTTTGATGTGTCCCCATGGTAACCCTGGAATGAAAATCATGTGCAGTAATTGTAATTAAGCATAAATCAAAGAGATTTTTCTGTTGACTACCAACCTACTCTGTTTTTTTCCATATCAAGCAAATGACTACTACTACTAACATTATAGTATATATTCTCATTCCTCTTTATGTTAAACTTGTCCATCTTTTAGTGAAAAAAAATGCTCCTCTATACCTTATTACCAAAAAAACCCACCATATTTAAAAAAGCACAATGATGTTAAAGTATGAGGCAACATACTTTAACTAAAGAACTAGATATTAAACATAAGGCAATATATAAGTCTTTATATGAGGCAACCTCAAGTTTCAAGTAGAGAACTAGACATTATAGCATAAGGCAACATACAAGTCTTAATATGCCACAAGGAATAATATTTTCTTCTGGATTCAAGTAAAAAATAAGACAGTCAAAAGAAGTTGAATAACATACATTCAAATAAACAGTCACATCAATGTTTATTATGTCTCCATCCTGCAAAAGACAGATACCATTAGCTCACAGAGACAAATAGCAATCCTATAGGAAGGTAATGTAAAAAAAAAGATGAAAAATGACATCATAAAACCTGCAGTTGGCGGGAATCAGGTATTCCATGGCACATGCATTCATTGACTGATGTGCACACGCTCTTAGGAAATCCACCATATCCAAGTGGGGAAGGATAAGCCCCAGCATCAATAATCATCTTGTGCACTGCTTTATCAATTTCATTTGTAGTTACAGATGGCTGACAAATATAGGTACCAATCCAATGTTAATAAGTTATATTGATGAATATAGTATTCTTTGGAAAAGGAAAAAATACTCTTTCTAGATTAATGAAGAAGTATTTTCTTTAGTGAAAAGTTTAAGCATGACCAAGTGTGCTGTTCATAAATAACAGATATGCACATGCAGATGTTGCAAGAGAAACAATATCATACATCAAAATAGCAGTAGTTTTCATAATTAAGACTGCTCTAAGGAGAACAAGAAGAGAAACAGTATCATGCATAAAAAAAGCAGTAATTTTGATAATTAGACCGCCATGAGGTGCAAGAAGAAGAAGAAGAAGAATGTTCTTACTGCTTTTACCATAAATTAAAAAGATAGGTTCTTACTCTAACCAATATTCCTGCATAGTCCAGAACATGTGCAGCAAGCTCACAGGCAGCTCTCATGCAAGCAATACCCTCATCATTATGTACTTGATGCTCGCTAGATAATTCTGGCAACAAGCCTGAATCCACATATGGAGGTCTTGGAATGTGGTCTGGCACTAAAAGCTTTCCAGAGACCTTTCCACGCCTTAATGGTGGCCTCTTTCTTACTTTTACTGAACTTTGAAGCTCCCTTGCTCTTCAAGTAATTAAGAAATTTAGTTAATAACATCATCTCGTATGTCATTTCCAGATAAGTGATACTTCTTTCTAAATTCTGAAAGTAAGCGTTACAACAGCAGATCATCATTAATTCTAAAATAAATCAGATTCCAAATGAATTCATGTGAACCACAACCACAATTAATTTCAAAGAATGCATCTTGTTCATCCTACACTAAGTGTGCATGTAATTATATCTATATATTATTATATTGGTTGTTAGAATCATCACATACAATTTCTTGAGTGATCAGTCTGGACCTTTACATACTACAAGGCCCATCATGTGAACTTGGGATTGCCAAAATAATATGGTTGAAAGGTTTTAGCCTTTTAGGTAATACTCAACCTTTCCATGTTAGTCATGCTGGAAACAGTACATACTTGTATGGTGTGCAAAAAGCTTGGCTGGAGCATGACAGTAACACCATACTGTAATGAGCATACTAAACAAACACTGTCCATAACACATTGATACACACTCAACAGACATGATATAGTTTCCCAGCATGTGACTATGTATAAGTTGTTTCCCCTCTCTTGTTTTCCTTTTTTTTGCCCTTTCACCAACTTAAAGATTCACCTTGAGTATCAAGTTACGAACTTTAACTAACTTGATCTAATGTTTAACCTTACCTAGACAAAATGTCATTAGCTTACCAATTAAAATCAAAGCCTCTGAAGCTTGCAAGGTTGAGGACAATTTCCAGCAGCTCTAGCCAGGAGATGCTATATATCCCACCTTTTCAGTCTTGAGGAGGCTCTATGATTTCCTGCTATTGTGGTTTCATTACTTATGTAGACAACTAGCAAAAAGTCAAACCTTTGTTTCTGGTCAAACAACAATGACTTAACAGACCTTCAGATTTGTCAAAGCTTATAAATATATTGGGTCATTTCCTAATAGCTTAAGCTTTTAAGATTACTAGTAACCCAATCGGAATTTTTTATCATGGTATTTAAGCAGATTACCGGTCACCTTTTTGCTTGCCAATGATTAAAACAATAGAAAAGCAGGATAGAAATGCTATGATTTCATCATCTCCATAGTATTTTGTTGACTTGGCCTTTAAGCAAAATTGTGACAGCAAGAATACATTTTTCAAATTACAATCCCATTCATGAGTCTGAGATTTTATCTATAAAATATCACTACCTAACTTTAAGCTAGCTGATGATCACCAAAAAAAGATCTTGCCCTTGATTATTTGAATGACTAAACAAAAAACATTATGAAGAGCAACAACACCAAAGAGTTGCAATAGGACAATATATCCATGTGGATGAAAGAAAACAGAGTACTATTTCTCAATTTCTCATGGCATGCTAAATTCCTCTTGAATATAACATTGCATATGCATACCTCCGAATTCGCATAGCCTCCTCCAATCCTGACAACTTTCTTGATACAATGACACATGACCTTTGGAAAATTTCTTTTCCTAATAAGAGAAAATTTTGGATAATTTGCAAGAAAAAGATTATTCTTAACAAGATAAAAATGATCTTATAAAAGTATAATCACGAGAAAAGAAATGTTCACTTGCCAATTTATTTCAATACAGGCCATATTTAACTTCAAATAAAAGTTAAATTTCGAGATAATTGACAAAGACATAATCAAGTCAAAACTAGAAGGTCAACTCAGGAAGACTTGCATTTTTTCGCTAAACAGAATGGTCAATTGTAGAGGTGACACTAATAACTGCAAGAACTTCTAAAGCATAATCATGAAATACGAGATAAACTTAATGTGACACAGAATCTTGGGTTCCTTAGGTCATTGGATTCACTTACACCTCGAGATGAACACTATTCCTTACTACAAAACTTGTGACTTCCTTAACCCCTACCCTCTAGGCTCTTCCATGCCTGGAGGAATTTACAGGGTATTCTATTAGTTGTGCGTGTGTTTAACGGCAACCAATAAGACAGTTTCCATTCCAAAGTGAAGCTCCACACCTGGGACAGCACTTGGAAACGAGGTCTTGAGGGGTTGGCCGACTAGGAAACTCCACCTCTCACCGGGGTCTCTCGACGGAGTTGGCGCCGGTGATACCCAGCACAACCGGCAAATCGGGACCTTCAGCGCCATACTGAGAGTACTCCGGACTGGGAGGGTTTTAGACACCCCTTTCTGGGGCTTGAGGCCGCCGCTGTTCCGAGGATGTGAGAACGGATTTGTGGCACACAAGCGACAGCGCTGCTTCGAGATTCGATTGGAACGAAGAGATGGACGGGGAAAGCCATAGTGAGGTCCAATGTGGCTTGGCCCGTTGGTACGTTTCCCTAATATGGGCCACCCGGCCCGGCCCATCATGGGCGTTTCCTTGGTTGAAACGAGTGATTAATAAATAATTATTTTTCGTATTTTATGATTGAGATACTGAGAGTGATGATAATATATATATATATATATATATATATATATATATATATATATATATATATTAGATTGGTGTATTTTTTATGATGAAATAAATAAAAATATTTTGACGATCATTTCACGATTTGATCATAAACAAGCAGGCAATGATTAATTAGAATTAATTAGATGCATGAAACTTATATTCAGTAAAATAAATATATAATTAATCAATAAATTTTGCCGGAAAGAAATTGTGGTTGGTTCAGCTGCTATGGACCCCATCCTTCCGCCCCTTCCCTCTCTCACCTTTGTACCCCTCTCGTCCAGAGCCTTCTCCCCCAACAATTCCACAAACTCTTCCTCCTCATCCTCCCTCCCTCTCATGGAGTACCGGAGGACGCCGATCGATCCCGCGTCAAGGAACAGCCAACGAGAGAAGGCGATGAAGGAGGCCGCGCTGTCTCCGACTCAGGTGGCCACTCTGGGCGAGGACGAGGAGGTGATGGAGGAGGACAAGAAGCGACGGGTAAGCTTCTCTTCCTCAGCGGCTGCACGGACGGGGCCTGACGCCGGAGGCGGCGGTGGCGGAGCGTCGCAGCCCTGCTGCCAGGTTGACGATTGCGCCGCAGACCTCCGCGAGGCCAAACGTTACCACCGCCGGCACAAGGTCTGCGAGGCCCACTCCAAGGCTGCCGTCGTCGTGGTCGCCGGCCTCCGCCAGAGGTTCTGCCAGCAATGCAGCAGGTAAGAGAACTTTCAAGAACTGCAACATTAGGGATAGAGTAGCTACAATTGCAAGCTATAAAATAAGGAAAAGGTGGAAGCTTTGAGATATTATTTCCAATTGCAAGCTGCAACTCTTCTCTCTGTTTATGAATCTTTCTACTGGATTATACTATCTTTGATTTTTAACACGGATCTGTCAATAAGAATTCTACGTTAATGATTTGGATCTTTCAATTATTTGGCTGCCGAGGAGTATCCTGAATCAAAATAAACATGCTTCATCAGAATTGTACAACAATCCATAAGCACATGAAATCGGAGTACCAATCTGTGCTTTTCGGCTACTAGTTTCCTCTAGTATGTTTTACATGAACCTTCGTTGACAACCATGTCTTGACATATGAATCCTTGCAAAGGAAGTAATTTTTGTGCACGGATATACTGAGCTTTAGTCCTTGTGTGTGCCGTGTGCAGGTTCCATGAGCTAGCAGAGTTTGACGACTCCAAGAGGAGCTGCCGCAGGCGCCTGGCTGGCCACAATGAGCGGCGCAGGAAGAGCTCTACCGACACGCAGCCAGAAGGATCAAACCGCTGCAGGGAGGCTGACCTCCCTGGAAATCCTGCATACAAGCATTTCCAGATCAGATAAGAACCTGATCAGGCTCTCTCTCTTCTGTCATGCATGGCTTCCTTCTCCACCGAGTAACATCAGCTTCCTCCATGATACAAGCGAAGAAGACATGTATTTAAGCTGGAAACTGCTATGTCAGCCATCTTCTAGTTGTAATATGGTTTGATGGGAGAGGTAAATGCAGAAGCCAGAGATGGCTTCTTTGTTTCAAGTGTTCGATTGTGTGTCCACTTCTTTACCTCAGCATTTTCCTAAATCTCAGTAAAGGGTACTGCTCATTGTACTACAGTCTTAAACATCTATTTGATCATCGTGCAATTTATTTTCAGAAGCTGAAATCATATTTCGATGTATTCAACTTGTGAATTTAATTATAGACAACTGCATAATTGAGTTTTACAGTTGTAATATGACTTCTTCATTAGGTGAATGATTGAGGGAAGAAACTAGTGTCATCATTTTCTTCTGATGTTCAAGTATATGGTGCTGTCTAAATCTGAGTGAATGTGTGGTGTCATCAGTGATTCAGAAAAAGTAAACTCCAGTTGTAACCTTGGCCTAGAAAGATCTTGTAGCTTTGCTGTTCTTCTGCTAGACACAGTTCCAGAGGGGCCCTCGTAGCTTTCGATGGTTATGCTGCAAAAGAAACTTATGGGGAAGGGGGGGGGGGTGCATCCTTGGCGAGAACAATTGGAATTTGTCCATCTTCTTGTTCTTGTGGTTGTGAGAGCAGACCATAAAGCTCAACTTGTCTATGCTAATGCATTTTGAGTACTCGAGCGTGTGTGGTTTATACTCTCTCAAGCAATTCTCTCAGGTGATCCCACTTGTGCGCAGCTCAACATTCATGTCTGAATCAAAGATCAAGTTGCAACCAGAGAATTTAAGATTTGTATTCCGGCAGCATGATAGGAACTGCAGACATTAAATGGATGAGTAGGAAATAACATAGAATCTGTTTGACTATAGTATGCGTTGGTGAACAAATATGTCGTGACTGATGAGCACGGTTAGGTCCACGGGTCGATGTCGGGAGTTCTCTGTTGGTTGAGCTGGACGCCCAGGTAGGTCGGGCCTTCGCAACGGGGTGTTGGTCTGAGCGCCGTCTGCGTCGAGTTGCGTCTCTCCGTTCCCGAGATAAGTGACAGCTCGACCTCCCTCACTGGGTGGCGATTTCCTGGTCGAGGCGCTCGTGGCTCGGGGCGATCGTTTTCCTACAAAAAAGGCCTTCGTCAGGTGATTCCCGATTGTGGCCCCTCCGACGAGCAAATCAGTTGTTAGTGGAATTGTTTTCTCCCCCTGGGCCGGATGCCGGCCAAAGGTCTTTATACTATTGTCCGAGGGTCGAAGTGGTGTGATCGCGTCGGTTGCTCGTGAATGGGATCTGGGACGATGAGTCGTAAGTCGTGGATCGTGACGGAGCGAGTCGCAAGTCGTAAGTCGGGGATCGTCCTGGAGCGACTCGGACAACGGACTAGCCAGCGAGGTGTGGCCCGAAAGTTGGATCGACCGAGATGCGACTCGAACAACGGACTAGGCCGACGAGGTGTGGCCCGAAAGTTGGATTGGCCGAGATGCGACTCGGGCATTAGATTCATCGCGAGACGTGACTTGGTCTGAACATTGGTCCTGCGGGCCGAGTGACTGAGTTTGGGCTCAGGTTTCGATGCCAACGGGTCACTAGTTGGGAGCGATCTAGAGCGACCTGGGCAAGAGTTGGGCTGGTGAGCCGCAAGTCGGGAACCGATCTGGAGCAACTTGGGCAGGAGTTGGGCCGACGAACCGCAAGTCAGGAACCGATCTGGAGCGGCTCGGGCAAGAGCTGTGCCGACTGATCGCAAGTCGGGAGCCTATCTTGAGCGACTTGGGCAAGAGCTGTGCCGGCGGGTCACAAGTCAGGAGCCGATCTGGAGCGACCCGTGCAAGAGTTAGGCCAATGAGCCGCAAGTCGGGAATCGATCTGGAGCGGCTCGGGCTTGAGTTTTGGGGCCGGCAGGTCGCAAGTCGGGAATCGATCTAGAGCGACCTGGGAAGGAGTTGGGCCAATGAGCCGCAAGTCGGGAACCAATCTGGAGGGGCTCGGGCAAGAGCTGTGCCGACGGGTAGCAAGTCGGGAGCCGATCTGGAGCGACTCGGGCAGGAGTTGGGCCGACGAGCCGCAAGTCGGGAACTGATCTGGAGCGGGTCATGCAAGAGTTGTGTCGATGGGTCGCAAGTCAAAAGCCAATCTGGAACGACCCAGGCAGGAGTTGGGCCGACGAGTCGCAAGTCGG